ACTGTCTCCAAGACATGTTTTTGTCTAAATCAGGGGTCTCAAACTCAGTTTAGCTGAATGCAGATTCTAGGTGAGGCTGGGCCACATTAGGTTTTCCACAAGAAAAGCAATGTAAAAAAAATCCATCTTCTCAGATCTATTTTCATTTAACACTAAAGAAGATGGAAAAAATATACAACAAATTAGTAATGAATACATAAAATAATTTGATTTCTCAGCGACTATTTGGTTTCTTTAGAAACTTATATTGGCTGTATTCAGATTTAAATGTCTGGATTAACAGTTCTTTAACCTTCTTCTGAACATTAGCGGAATATGAACTGTTCTTCTGAACATTAGTGGAACGTGAACTGTTCTTCTGAGCATTAGTGGAACATGAACTGTTCTTCTGAACATTAGTGGAACGTGAACTGTTCTTCTGAACATTAGTGGAACGTGAACTGTTCTTCTGAGCATTAGTGGAACGTGAACTGTTCTTCTGAGCATTAGTGGAACGTGAACTGTTCTTCTGAGCATTAGTGGAACGTGAACTGTTCTTCTGAGCATTAGTGGAACGTGAACTGTTCTTCTGAGCATTAGTGGAACGTGAACTGTTCTTCTGAGCATTAGTGGAACGTGAACTGTTCTTCTGAGCATTAGTGGAACGTGAACTGTTCTTCTGAGCATTAGTGGAACGTGAACTGTTCTTCTGAGCATTAGTGGAACGTGAACTGTTCTTCTGAACATTAGTGGAACGTGAACTGTTCTTCTGAGCATTAGTGGAACGTGAACTGTTCTTCTGAACATTAGTGGAACGTGAACTGTTCTTCTGAGCATTAGTGGAACGTGAGCTGTTCTTCTGAGCATTAGTGGAACGTGAACTGTTCTTCTGAGCATTAGTGGAACGTGAACTGTTCTTCTGAACATTAGTGGAACGTGAACTGTTCTTCTCAGCATTAGTGGAACGTGAGCTGTTCTTCTGAGCATTAGTGGAACGTGAACTGTTCTTCTGAGCATTAGTGGAACGTGAGCTGTTCTTCTGAGCATTAGTGGAACGTGAACTGTTCTTCTGAGCATTAGTGGAACGTGAACTGTTCTTCTCAGCATTAGTGGAACGTGAGCTGTTCTTCTGAGCATTAGTGGAACGTGAACTGTTCTTCTGAACATTAGTGGAACGTGAACTGTTCTTCTGAGCATTAGTGGAACGTGAACTGTTCTTCTGAACATTAGTGGAACGTGAACTGTTCTTCTGAGCATTAGTGGAACGTGAACTGTTCTTCTGAGCATTAGTGGAACGTGAACTGTTCTTCTGAGCATTAGTGGAACGTGAACTGTTCTTCTGAACATTAGTGGAACGTGAACTGTTCTTCTGAGCATTAGTGGAACGTGAACTGTTCTTCTGAACATTAGTGGAACGTGAACTGTTCTTCTGAGCATTAGTGGAACGTGAACTGTTCTTCTGAGCATTAGTGGAACGTGAACTGTTCTTCTGAGCATTAGTGGAACGTGAACTGTTCTTCTGTACATTAGTGGAACGTGAACTGTTCTTCTGAACATAGTTTCTGTTGCCTTATCCTTGCTGCTAGAGACCTGCTAGTGACAGTTTTGTTGGCATCTAGCAAGACCCAAAACAGGGTCATGATGGTTCAGCTTTTATTCTGAAAGGAACCGTTACAGCAGGTGGAACAGCAACAGATTTTATCCAGCTTGTCGTTGGTTCTTTCGGCTGAAGAGGAAAGTTACGGATTGGCCACTCCGACAACTTCTCTAGAACGCTTTGAACTGGCGTTAAAGATGACGTGGGCATAGTTTTATAATTAGGATGTTTTGGTTTATGGTCGAATGAAAAGATGACAGATTTACTAAACACCAACAAAACCACGCCTCCGTCAGATCTGGCAGATTCTGATTGGATCAGTAAAAGCAATGTGTCATGTCTTAACGCTACGTGAGATCAGTCCTAGTGGAAACATTTAAAGTTATATTACTTATTATATTCTATAGGATTATAATAAAGTAATTAATATTTACATTTCACAAATTTGTTCACGTTTTATTATTGGCTAACACTTTGTTTGATTAGCTTATTAAAAATAGAGTTCTTTGATTTATTAAAAAGAAAGAGTCCTTTGTCTTCATTCTTCTCTTGGGCTGGAAAGGAAATCAGTTTAGAAGCAGATGCATGAGACCTTGAATAATATCTCATGCAGATTAGTTCTTGCTGGGGGGGTGGGGGTGGGGGGGTGACTTTTAGGTGGAAAACAGTCATTTCATTCAGTTACAGGTGTGAGTCCAGCTCCCGCCAGGGGTATTCTGCTGTTGTGTCCTTGGGCAAGACACTTCACCCAACTTGCCTGTGTTGGTGGTGGTCAGAGGGGCCGACGGCGCCAAATGGCAGCCTCGCCTCTGCCAGACCGCCCCAGGGCGGCTGTGGCTACGTAGTAGCTCACCGTCACTGGCAGCGTGTGAATGTGAGCGTGCATGGAAGCGACTTTGTGTGTCGTAAAAAGCGCTATATAAGCTCGATGTATTATTATTATTATTATTATTATTATTATTATTATTACTTTTCCTTTTTGGCACCAGAGCTCAGCTGAAGTCACGAGGGGAACCATCGGGTCCGGTGGTTTGGAAGGGGGAGCGGAGGAGCCTCGCCAGCTGCTGTCCCGGTCTCTGCCTGGTGGGAAGAATCCCGTTTCTGTCCTGATGGAGTACAGTCAGCGCAGCGGGAACCCCATTGAATTCATCAACACGGGACAGGCCGGCCCACCGCACGACCCGAGGTTTGCTTTATCTCCCTTTGAATCCTTTCGAGGACTCCAGATTTTAGGTTCTGGGGTGGTTTTGTTCTGTGGTTTTGCATCTCTGCCTCAGAAACCAGCCTGGCCCTGTTAGATCTATCCTCGCGGCTGCTGTCATCCGATTGTTCAGTCGGGCCCTCAAGGCCGCACAAGTTTCTCTCACCTCTGTTAAATAAAGAAAGTCGCATGGATCCGTCCTGACCTCTAGCTGTGATGCTGCTGTGATCCGGATCTGTCGAAGTCATCAAGCGTGCCAAGTGTACTATCTCAGTTACAAACCATCATCTGGCTCTCACGTCCTTTTCACCTTCTCCGCGCTGTGCTCAGGTTCATGTTCAGGGTGAAGGTCGGAGAGAACTTGTTCGCAGAAGCTTCAGCTCCGAGCAAAAAGGCCGCCCGTCAGCTGGCAGCAGAGGAGGCGGTCAAAGAGCTCATGGGCGATGGAAAACTGCAGATCAACAAGGTATAAAAGGGTTTGTGTTTGTAATCATAAGCAACACCTCCGCTGCTGTTTTAGAAAAGGAAGTAGAGGCTGTAAGTCTCGGGTTAGATCCGTCTCCTAACGTTAATGTTTGTCTGCGCCATCCAACCACATCTCCATTCTTGCCAGCCTCAGTTGCCCCTCGGTCCTCCCAGTGATAGTGAAGGGGATCTTTCCACGGCATCGTGTCCCACTTTGCCGCCTTTGACGGAAAACGAGTTGCGGGCGGCCCACGAGGCAGGAGTCGGGGACCTCATCAATCACCTGAACAACAACGCCGTGTCGGGCCTTCTGGAGTACGCCAGAGCCCGGGGCTTCGCTGCCGAGATCCGCCTGGTGAGCCAGTCTGGGCCACCTCATGAGCCAAAGTATGTGTGAGCCACAGGAGTTCACCGTTAACACACACACACACACACACACACGTACGCACGTGCACAAACACACACATATACATGCACGTGCACACACTTACACATGCACGCGCACACACACTTACGCACATGCACGTGAACACACACATGCACATGCACACACACTTAAACACATGCACACACACACGCACGTGCACACACACCCACGTGCACACACATACATACACGTGCACACACACGTGCACAAACACACTCATACATGCATGCGCACACACGCACATGCACGTGAACACACATGCACACACACTTAAACACATGCACACATACACACACACGCACGTGCACAAACAAACACATACATGCACGTGCACACACACACACTTACCCACGTGCACACACACGTACACATGCACGTGCACACACAAACACACATGCATGCACGTGCACACACACACACTTACGCACGTGCACACACAAACACATGCATGCACGTGCACACACACACACATACACGCACGTGCACACACACCCACGTGCACACACATACATACACGTGCACACACGTGCACAAACACACTCATACATGCATGCGCACACACGCACATGCACGTGAACACACATGCACACACACTTAAACACATGCACACATACACACACACGCACGTGCACAAACACACACATACATGCACGTGCACACACACACTTACCCACGTGCACACACACGTACACATGCACGTGCACACACAAACACACATGCATGCACGTGCACACACACACTTACCCACGTGCACACACACGTACACATGCACATGCACACACAATCACACATGCATGCACGTGTCCTTGCACATGAACACACACACACACACCCACATGCACTCACTGAAGCACACACACGCACGCGCGCACACACACACACCAGTTAGAAAATAAACATACTGATCTGTGTGCCTGTTGTGACGGTGAGTCGTCTTATGAAAGATAAAAATAATTGTGTTTTCATTCTGCTTAAGTTTTCTGAGTGTTTAATCTCGCATAATCTCACGAATATCTAGAAGATGTTTACTTTTATACTTAGCTGTGGTTGTTATTTTATTTATTTAATAGTATAAACTTCCCGTTTCCTCTCCTGCTCAGGTTTACCTACCAGGCCAAACTGGGCGGACGCTGGTTTCCTCCGGTTTTTGCCTCCAACAAGAAGCAGGGAAAGCAGGAGGCGGCCGACGCCGCTCTCCGGGTTTTGATTGGAGAAGCGGAGAAGGCGGCGCGAACCGGAGAGCTCATCCCAACTGAGGTTTGTAACGCGAAAATATAATAATTACTGCTTTTAAGGAGCTGGTTCACCGAGAAACTTATGTTTGAAAATGATCGGTCACTCAGGCACATAAATTAGAGTTCTGCGAAAAAGTACTCATCTACTCACAGATTTCCTCTCTTTGAACTTTTGCCACACTGAAAAAAAATTTTTTAATGAATATTTCTGATTCTAACGGGTCACTCTGAGTGTTTGATGCAGGCTGAACATGAAAATAGTCTCCTACACCTATCTCCTGCAGTAGCTTCTGATAGAAAACAGACGGTGAAACTCTAGGATTAGAAAATCCTGACAGATCTACGTCACCCTGTCACTAACATTCATGGACTCACCCATCTGGACTCACGACGGGGAAGGCTGTTGTTGGTTTAGCGTCCAGGAAACAGCAGAGAACGTCTCAGCTAGTAGAAGCTAACCGTTAGCAATAGCTACTCCACCATAAAGCAGAACTCCTCCATGATTGTGTTACTGGTGGAGATAAAACGTCAACGTTGCAGACCAGAGTCAGTGGTAGAGTTGTGTTGCTGTTAGCCAATCAGAGAAGAGATTGTCCACATATCAGGAGAAAATAAGTAAAGCCTGATTTATACTTCCTGTGTGGGTATGGAGACTTGCAACGCCGTAAGAGCCTGCAGAGGGCGATGGAGGCTTGACCAATTATTTAATTGTTGAAAATAGCTGAAACTAGGGGTTGTATCAACTAGTCGACTAGTCAACTTCACTGCTCTGTAGTGACTTGTTATGCCTTTCATCGACTAGTCGCTGTCATGTGATAATGACCAACAAGATGCAGTCCTCGGAACAGACAGCAGGTGACGAGCTCCTATGCGTCAGGAGGCAACGCGCTGTGCCAGAGCAGCGGTACTGACGCCCGCGGTAAAACGGACATTTGACCAAATTGTGACCTTTACCCTCTTACAATTTAACCTTCCCCTCACCCCCATCCTAACCTTAACCAGCTTGCGCATGCAAAGCTCTGATCGTTGACGCGCTCCAGACATCTGCGTCCTGAGTACGGCCACAGTAACGTTATCAAATCAGGTGTCGCCACCTCAAAAACTAATTTAACACGCGATCATTCATGTCGGATCATTTCCTTTTATGTTTTCTGTCTTTTATTTGTGCCTGATGCGTTTCGCTGCTGTGGAGCGAGGCGCATCACCTGGTTCATCCTCCGGTGACGCACCTCACTGATGCGGCCGGCGAGCACTCCGCTGTTTTAGCGGTCGGTAGATCTTTTAGAACTGCAGTTCAAAGGTAAC